CGCCGCACGCGCACCACGCGCCGGGCGCGGCCAAGAGCTCGGCCACGGTGAGCCGCAACCTCAACCGCTTCTCCACCTTCGTCAAGTCGGGCGGCGAGGCGTTCGTGCTGGGCGAGGCGTCGGGCTTCGTGAAGGACGGGGACAAGCTGTGCGTGGTGCTGGGCCCCTACGGGCCCGAGTGGCAGGAGAACCCCTACCCGTTCCAGTGCACCATCGACGACCCCACCAAGCAGACCAAGTTCAAGGGCATGAAGAGCTACATCTCCTACAAGCTGGTCCCCACGCACACGCAGGTGCCCGTGCACCGGCGCTACAAGCACTTCGACTGGCTGTACGCGCGCCTGGCCGAGAAGTTCCCCGTCATCTCCGTGCCGCACCTGCCCGAGAAGCAGGCCACGGGCCGCTTCGAGGAGGACTTCATCTCCAAGCGCCGCAAGGGCCTGATGTGGTGGATGAACCACATGGCCAGCCACCCGGTGCTGGCGCAGTGCGACGCCTTCCAGCACTTCCTCACCTGCCCCAGCGGCACGGACGAGAAGGCCTGGAAGCAGGGCAAGAGGAAGGCGGAGAAGGACGAGATGGTGGGCGCCAACTTCTTCCTGACCCTCAGCACGCCGCCCGCCGCCGCCCTGGACCTGCAGGAGGTGGAGAGCAAGATCGACGGCTTCAAGTGCTTCACCAAGAAGATGGACGACAGCGCGCTGCAGCTCAACCACACGGCCAACGAGTTCGCGCGCAAGCAGGTGACGGGCTTCAAGAAGGAGTACCAGAAGGTGGGCCAGTCCTTCCGCGGCCTCAGCCAGGCCTTTGAGCTGGACCAGCAGGCCTTCTCGGTGGGCCTGAACCAGGCCATCGCCTTCACCGGAGATGCCTACGATGCCATCGGCGAGCTCTTCGCCGAGCAGCCCAGGCAGGACCTGGACCCGGTCATGGACCTGTTAGCGCTGTATCAGGGGCACCTGGCCAACTTCCCGGACATCATCCATGTTCAGAAAGGTAAAGCCCGGCTTGTAGAGCAGCAGGTGGTACGGAAGGTGGTGTTCAAGAGGCAAAGGATGACCGAAGGTTCAGGCTCGTATCTCACGCGTCTGGCAGGGATGTGAACTTCCATGTCTTCTCCCATCCCGTCCTTCCCCCCCCCCTCCCCCCAATGTGTGTGTTTGCTGAATTGGCAGACTTAGCTTCCTTCTCCCAGTACCCTCCGCTCAGAAAGTGAGAAGTCTTCAGAGAGTTTCTGAAAGTAGTTTTTATGACAGTGCTATCGTTTGAGAATTCAAATAGGCTTATAATAAGTAGAATGGCACAGAGACCAAAAACATGTTAGACATCGTGTGGACAGTGTCAGGACTGGGAGGAAGTGATAGGGAAGAATGGACATCTGCAAGGAAGGTAAGACCGGCATTCACCCTCTGCACAGCAGACCCTGCTTTGGTAAGGAACTAGCGTCATTTCTCTGAGTTGGGTGTACAAGAACTTCCTCTGTAGGCTTCTCGCTTGCAAGCTTCGTTAAATAGGTACAAGGCCCGCCCTTTTTTTTTTTTTATATTTTGTGGGTTATGGGGCCTGAACCTGGGCCCTGTCTCTCAGCTCTTCAGCTCAAGGCTAGCGCTCTACCACTCGAGCCACTTTCGGCTTTTTCTGTTTATGTGAGGAATCGAACCCAGGGCTCATACCTCTGAAGCAAGCACTCTACCACTGAGCCACCTTCCTAGCCTAAAAGGCCCAGACTTGTTTCAGGAAATCAGCTTTGGACATTTTGGGTTTGGAATCAACGAAATTTAGGAATGTTATTTTGAAAAATGATGTAGGGAAATTAGGATGAAATCTGAATTACTATATCAGAGCGATGAATTTGCTCTTCTACTGTCAAGGTTTTATTAGTAGTTATGAGTACTAACCTTTGTTAAAGAACTGGTACTTTCATCATTAGTTATGATTATTGTGGTGTGTATGTGTGTGTAGTAAGTTATAGCATTAATGCCTGGTCTAAGGTTACTCAGTAGTGTACCTCTACTGATGGAGAGAGAATGGACAGTGTTGGAGTTTGTAAAGTCCAGTGTGTGGGGAGAATGGGGAGGAGAGAGTTCTAGAATGCACATCTGGCCTCCATCGATGAGTTGCTTACTCCCTTTCCAGATGGGACACAGGCCACTTAGGAATGGTCTTGATCTTTGACATGTTCTTCCTCGTGTTGGGTTCATTTGTCTTTTTGGTTCGCAGGAACCACGTTCCTCAGCCTGACAAGACTTCAGACATTGGGAGAGCACAGTCTTGCTTTCACTTCCTTCTCTGCTCTCCTCTTTCCAAGTGTGTGACTAGGTTTGTAACTCAATGTGGGGTGGAGATGGGATATACATACCTTTAATCTATTGATGCTGTTGCCAAAATGCAGTACCCTGAACACTGCAGCAAGAATTTTAGTGGAGGATAGTAACTTTCTTAGCAATTTCCCACTCATACATGCAGTCTGAGTAAATTAGCTTTTTGAGTAATAATATTGCTGTAGGCCTGTATTGAACCTGCATCTGAATTCTTCTGCCTTTATCTTTCTCTAAATTACTAAGGATCCTTGGTGCTTTGGCTGGTGGTGGAAAAATTAACTCTGAGTTTTCGATGCAGGACTTTAATGTTTAAATCCCATTGTGTTACATCATGTATCGTGTTTTACATTACACATTGTATTACATCATTTTGGACCCATTGCCGGCTGTCTCTTTATACAGTCCTGCCAATTGAGGCAGAACCAAGCACAGACCTTGTGGGGCTCATACAGGTGACTCAGCTTCACTCTGACATCAGTGCACTCACGTGTTCTCCAGTTATTCAGTTCTCCAGCACAGCCTTTGTCCAGTGCCCTCCTCTTGAGTTTCCATGTTAGAAAAGGTATGGTGCTTATAATAAGGTTTACTTGGGATTTACAGTCGTAGCCCCCTGTCTGTTCAACCACTTAGCTTATTATTTTTTCATATTAGAACTAAAATTATCTCTTGCTGTTTGAGATTTGAAAAAAACCTTCTTTTTAAAAAACCATTGTCATTTTTTTTGA